GAAGGCCATCCTCTACTACAGGGCATTTTCGTGGCTCAGAAGTTTCATGGAAGGTTCCCACCAGGCAAGTGGGTATAGCATTGCAACCTTAGTAGAGGGCTATATGCTGCTTGAATTATCTGCTTGTGTGACAGTAATATATATCAGGTTAAACACTTTAAATGGTCTGGAACCAAAGTACTAGAAGGGCCAGCTTTGCCCATGTTAGGCTGCCTACACAGCAAGAGAAGTACTTCTCAGTCGCTTAGCTGTGAGAGCAGTTAGGTGGACAGCTCCATGAGAAAGGACCTTTTTCGCAGTGGCCCCATTTCTCTGGAGTAAGTTACCAGCAGGTTCTGCCATGCTGCAGTGCTACTGGTTTTTAACAAGGCCATTAAAGCATACCATTTTACTCTGTCTTTCTTCTGATGCACTGTTTTGCACTTTTCTGTCATCTTTATGCTTTATACTGGTTTATGCTTTTTATCTTTGTATGGCACCTTTTGAGACCTTCTGCCTTGAAAGGAGGACAAAGACTATTTGAAATAAAAATAGTCTTTATTTCAAAGGTGCAATCCCGTAAAACCTTAGGCAGATAAAAAGCTTATCTTGTTGGGGCATGCTGGGTGTTGTAGGTCTTATTTCTATCTAAACTTGCATAGGATTGTGTCCTAAAGTAATTTTCAACCTCTAAGCATCTTTCTTTGTATTGCAGGTGTGAAGTTTTTTTCTTATTCTACCAGCATTTGTAGCCTTTCCATAATGCCTACGATCCTCTTCAAAACTGGGCTAGGTGTCGATAGCCTTCCCATGCAAATTGTCTTTTGCAGCATTATAGGATTCTTTACCTTCATAACACCAGTTATGCTGCATTTAATTACCAGGGGCTACGTAATCCGGTTGTACCATAAGGGTGAAACGGACACTTACACAGCTATTACATATAATGTTATTTTGGCAGAAAAGAAAACTGTGTTCCATCAAAAGGACGTGAAGATTCCAGCCATCAGCAGGTTGTTTACAACATTCTATGCAAAAACAAAATCAATGCTTGTTAATCCATCACTTTTTGAATATCCGCAAGACTATA